AAGACCACCGTGACTAGCGACCAGCCTGGTACTACAGACCACTTCGCCAGGCACGGACGGTCTCACCTTCATATAATTATGGGTGTGCGGTGCAAACCTCTAGGGCTGTGTTTACATGAGAAATTTCAACCCGGGTCGAGTTCAGTCGGGGTTGAAAGTCTGTATGATAGACAAAAGAGGTGAGCGTCTACATGAAGACAGTTGACCTGGGTCAAATACTGATATGCCGCCAAAAGTCCACTTCTAGAATCCTGTATAGTCACGTGAATCCGTTCGCGCGAAATTTGCATGTGCAGTGCTGTTCAAACCTGGCGCGAGATACGCACAGAAGTACGTTTGTACGATTTTCTTGACCCGGGTTGATTCCCTTGGGGGGAGGGTTGAAATCAACCCGGGGCGAAATTTCAACCCGGGTCAAGCGCAATGCGTCATGTAAACGCGCCATTCACTTTGTGCACAAGGCGGGTTGAAATCTGACCCGGGTCGAACTCAACCCGGGTTGAAACGCCTCATGTAAACACAGCCTTACTAAAGACCACCTGCCACTAAAGACCACCTGCCACTATAGTCAGTTTCAAAAAGATTAGCAATCCTGGCGATCGCCCGGGGAGTTTGCCGTCTTACCGTATGACGGCTCGAACGCTGCCTGGAAAAACTCACTGTGAACTCGAAGAAATATTCCGCGCGAAAGCATGAAAAATGGCAACTCACTGACGTCGGTACTCGTACATGACTTTGTGTTCGTCTGGTTTACAACAAACGAGTTCTTCCTCGTATCGATAATGGAGTCAGAGAGGACATGTCGAAACTTCAAAGTGTGGTAAATTTTGACGAGCGGGATGCGTCCGTTTTGTGACCAAATAGATTCTTTGAGCTGCCGCGGATGCAATTATTTACTCTCACGATGTGACGAAAACGGCATCGACACAGACTCATTCCCAAGGCCTTGAAGTGGCAAAGCTATCTGTGTGACTTCGACGACATTTTGAGAAAAGCAGACGCCTGTGAAAGCTGATAGAAGACGGCGTTGACTCCTAAATTCAAATAAATTGGCGATCTTCAAATACTAAAATAATTCTCAAACAGAAATCGATCGATCGATGTGCCGGTGTATTCAACAACACGTAGCTACAGCGCAATGACTTCCCAGTTCCGTGTTCACTCACACGGTTTCAGTGTTGTGTGTGTTCACAACTTCACATGGCGTGAGCCAGTCAAGTGTCAGTCAGTTCGGCAGGAAACGCGAGCTCCAACAACAAGTCGTTTGGCGCAGCCACCTTCTTTGTCTTGTACCAGCGTGATCACCAAAACAATGAAAAAATGAAGAAAAAAATGTTTGACTTGAAGATTTGTTGGGATTTGAACTCACAACTTCATGGTCAGCAGACAGCATTCATAACCACAAGGCCAAAAAGGAAGGGATAAATCGTGGGTTTTGATAACAAATCGATACTGGCTTCCAGGGCAAATTATAAACCATGGGAAAAGGCCAGAAACCTGGCCGAAATACTAACTCCTTGATGGTTGGTCCAATTGTTCCGAAACCTTCACAGAACAATTTGCCGTGTCCTAACAAGCCGTTTTATGTACTTTGTTGTCCAAATTTCCCTTATCTTCATACTTTTTAAGACCCAAACTTGATTGCTAATCTTTTTGAAACAGACTGTAAAGACCACCTGCCACTAAAAACCACCTGCCACTAAAGACCGCTTTTTCTGGCCCCAAGGGGTGGTCGTTAGCTACAGGTTTTACTGTATTATTTGGAGAGCTGGAATGCAAAACCCGGCAAATCCATTTCATCACTTTCCGGAGGATGGCCAAACAAGTATTCATTTTACGTACTGTGTGTGTCTAAATCCGTATTTGGGTTCCAGTGTTGAAATGCTTCTAGTGAGATTTTGAATGTGAAATTTCGGCTCGTGGTGCCCGGAGACCATTTTGATTGCACTGAGCTGAGAATTTAATTTTCTCGAATTTGGCGCTTTATGGTGAAAAAAGGAGGACGAAATGTTACGAGTTATGACTAACTGTCCACCAACGTAACCAGATCTTTAATATACAGTCAGGACATTTTGTTCTCCTTTTTTTCACCATAATTTAATTGGCTCACCATCCGAGTTAAACATGGCGCTTTATAGTAGGATTTGCAGCTCCGCTCTGTACTTGTACAGGAGTGTGCGCATACAGGGATGTGTAGTTGCATGTACGGGGCAAAGTGGCAGACGGGCGGACACAGCAGACTATTTTTTGGCTGGCCAGCAGCCTCTGGCATACGTGGCTGACCAGCAGCCTCTGGCGTACGTGGCTGACCAGCATCAGACGACATACTGAAGTCTACAGACTTTCGGCACGTTTGAATTTCGGCCTTCCAGGGCTAAAACGCATTCCGGCCAAATAAAAAGTTCAGCCTGTACTGCTGCTGCCTATATACTACTAGTATACTGTCACATTGAACCTTGCAAAACCAAATTTCGGCCGCAACCAATTTTAGGCAAAAATGTCAACCGCCGAAAATATCCGAAAATAAGTACCGTAATGTCGCGTGTTAAAGCCGGGCTTATTCCTGTAGTAGCCGATGTCAGGGCTAGGCTTCTATTCACATCAGGCTTCTATTCAAACCAGGTATTTCTATGTGTGTCAACACTAAAACCAGGCTTATGTGCCGACAGTGAATCTTGAAAATCAGGTTTCTATTCAAAACAGGCTTCTATATGAGATAGGCTTTAATACAAGACACTACGGTATGCGCCGAATATTTGTTGACTGATACCCGTATTTTACTAGTTATAATAAGCCTACCCGTCGAACCCGTTGGATTTTTTAAATATTTTTTTAAAAAGCCTACCCCAGTTATAGGTCGACCCATATCCGGAGGTCTTAATTCTGTTTTCTTTTTTCACCCACCGAAGCACTGCTGACCACTCCCTGCTACTAACACATCAACAAATCACATAACCACTTCTCACTGGAGGGGGCAATGGGTGGGGGTTGGGGGTTGAAACGTCCAAATCCTGACATTTTCGGTATATTCTTGAAAGGGATGGTAGAAATAATAATGATGAAGAAAGGAAAAGGACAAAATGTTATGAGTTATGACAAACTGTCCACCAACGTAACCAACATGTTGTCCTTTTCCTTTCTTCATCATAATTATATGCATGGCTCACCATCCGAGTTCAACTTAGAAATAATAAGATTATTCATAATACTTGAAGTAAGATTATTCCGAAGGCTTTTCTGCTTTGGTTGTATGTCAAAAGAGGAGTCGAAAACTGACCGCATAAGGGCCATGCCTGCATCATTTGGTTTGTCAATGGAATGTGTGTGTGCGTGCATGCGTGTGTGCGTGCGTGTGTGTATATATTTTGTCCGTTGCTTGTTTGTATGTGCAGCCATCAATCCGGTTTGGTGCGAGACCCTGGATTTCACGGTCAGGTTCCCTGATGTCTGTATCTTTGAGTTCAAGGTGTATGACAAAGACACGGTCGGAAAGGACTTCCTTGGCCAGTACTTCATCCACTTCCGCTGTATCAAGGATGGTAAGTAGGGATGCCACTATCTATGTGTGTGTGTGTGTGTGCATGCGTGCGTGCGTGCATGCGTGCGTGTGTGTGTGTGTGTGCGTGTGTGTGTGTGTGTGCTTGTGTGTGTGTGTACGTGTGTGTGTGTACGTGTGTACATAAGTGTGTGTGTGTACGTGTACACATGTGTTTAGATTGGTGTTGTTATGTGGCATGTATGCGCATAAGGCTATACATCAATCATTGGCTTGTGTATCTCGTACATTTAGAGCAAGATCCTGAAGAATGTCAAAATACGTAATACTGAGCATTACTCTGCCTTACACTACCTTTGCGTGGCTAACAGTAACAAACATTTGTTCACCTGACAGGTCGGTCTTCTATGCTTTGCGTGGCTAAATCCGTGTCTGTGTCTCTCTCTCTCTCTCTCTCTCTCTCTCTCTCTCTCTCACACACACACACACACTCTCTCTCTCTCTCTCTCACTCTCATTCACTCCCTTCCTTCAGGCTATCACCTAGTATCGCTGGAAGACCGATCGCGCACACCGGTCAAGGATGCACGGCTATTTCTTCACGTGGAGATAACCGAGAAAGAAGCAGACAAGAAGTCTCGATGATGCACCGGAACGCGGTGGAGTCCCACCGGCATAACACACATGCAACAACATAGGTAAGTCTTCAGAGAACTGCTAGCTTGGCTTCACGTCCCCATACAGTACTGAGATGAGGAACGATGTGCTGAAGAACTTACAGGTTAGGATTCCATCAAGCACATGGTTTCACAGGGTTTCACATGGTTTCACAGGGTTTCACATGGTTTCGCAGGGTTTCACATGGTTTCGCAGGGTTTCACATGGTTTCACAGGGTTTCGCGTGATTTCACAGGGTGTCACAGGGTCGGTGCGCGAGTGCCCCACAACACGTCACACTCATACCGTGATCATCCAGACCCCGAAGTCCCGGGTACTGAGGTCTACCAGACAGGCACCCTTTGGCCCAGTTTCAGTCGAAAATATTACTACTCTGTGTCACATTTTGTGGAAATAGTGACGTCACGTCACAAGCCATATTTACGGTCTTTCCCCATCAACATGTGTGTGATCCGGAGTTACGGACATTTCAAAGTCACGGGCAGTGCCCGGTCCTGGACTGCCCGGATAAACGAGGTATGAGTGTAATTGTTGATATCACCTCCACCACTACACTGTACTCTCAGCCGACTAGACCCTCCTGCACACAACCATCACCACTGCGAGGACACTTCCGTTGACGATATTGATAGCTTGTATTCCTTCAGACAGCTGTTTCGCTAATACATAGCTCATCAGAGAAGTTAGATGTTGAAAGTAATTGACATGAGAAATAAGATCGACCCTGGCTACGACTCTGAAGAGGGCGAGAAGTTCTCTGGCACCCTGCAGCAGCACTGTACTGCGACCGGTCGACCTTGCATGCAGCCTTGTGCATGTGTTGCGTGTTCCCTCCATCCGTTCAAGATTTTGGACTGCATTGACGGGAAATCCCTTTAACTTGTGCCTTCCTAAAAAAATAAAAAGTAAATTATCGTATCCGTTCCCGAAGGGAACTCACGACGGCCGCTAACACCCGATAAACCCTAGCGGCAGATGCAGCGCCTAACGGTGGGGGTGAGTGGGCAAGTCTCACAACCACTGGCACAAGTGCCGAAAACGACCCCATTAGCTGCATCCATGTACCCCTTGTGCCTGGCCACAAGTTCCCAGTTGACTGTGGGTAGCAGCACGGCTGGAAAAACCGCTCCCAGGCAGGACTTGAACCAGGTACCTCTCGTATCTCAATCATGGTCTTTGACCAACCCACTATGCCTGCCTGTTTGACCAACCCACTATGCCTGCTGTGCCTTCCTAAATAGATGGAAAATCCTGGCAAGTTGTTACATCTCATTCAGGCGTCAAGTAAACCGTTTCAAGCAAAGAAGAGAATTGTATTCTGTATCTTTCCATCTAATTAATAAAAAGGATTTCTAGCAGTAACCGGCCTTGGCCCCAATACCAGTCAATTGTTTTCTTCATGCTTTGCTTTTTTTTTCACCTTCTTTGCGTCTGTGCGCGTGTGTGTGTGTGTGTGTGTGTGTGTGTGTGTGTGTGTGTGTGTGTGTGTGTGTGCATGCATGTGTTTGCAGAATTCACTCATTGTCATTCAAAGCTGCCATGCAGCGGCACCCCGTCATACAACTGAAAACTATTCCGGCATGCTAGTAAGAGTTTTAAACAACATCCGTGGGAAGAATTTAGGTGCGGCAGGGCACGCACAGAATTTCAGCCTTCTGCATTTTAGGCAAGAATACTTGTACGCACATGCATTCCCGCACTCATCCGTCGTTAAGAATTTCATCATTGTTTGTCTCATATCGCCATGGCATACATCATTAGTTTGGAAAAATTCCATGTGTCTAGTGGAACATAGTGCAAGATTATCAGCAGGTACCAGCAGCTCAGGCGTGATATTGTAATTTTAATATTTTTGCTTCTTTGATGTGTATTGCAATGATATTACTTTAGAGTGCTTGTATTGCTAGCGGCGAGCAATGTTATATAAAGTACTGGATTAACATTTTGGTGCATTTCCGCCCTTTTACATGCATTCCCTTTTTCTCTTCATTTTTTTGCTGCCAGTTCTATCTAGCTTTATTCTCAGTCCTCAGTGGCATTCCTAAACGGCCGTGGCCCTTTGCATTGCTGGCGCGATGCAGCTCAAGGCGTTTGAACGGCTGCGTCACCATCTCTCTCTCTTTCTCTCTCTCTCTCTCTCTCTCTCTCTCTCTCTCTCTCTCACACACACACACACACACACACACACACACACACACACACACACACACACACACACACACACACACACACACACACACACACACCAATAGTCCCATTTCAGAGCAGATGAAATCATGGGTGTGAGTAATTCAGTTACATTTTAGCCTACACAATGCATTTACTTCCTCCTTTTTTAAATTCCTTTTTACTTTAGCCCCGTAAACTACCATCTTTTTTTTTAAACCCTCTCCACTAGACTCCTAGCGTCACTATGGTAACCGGGAGTAGTAAAATGGCTACTAGCTGATGCTAACTAATTTCAACTTCTTATAGCTTTCCACAGCCCTACCTATACCTGGGTCCGTTTGTTATTTTAGCGGCAGTTTTCTTACTCAGTAGTTTAGGTACAATGTATTCTTACTAGCAGGGAGTCGTAAAATACCGGTATTTTCCGACTCCCTGCTTCCTATCAACAATGCTTGTGCTAGTAGTATTGTTTTTGACATTCTCTAGTCTAGACCACAGTACGTTTTATAGTCCATAACCCTTCCGGACTGCTGTAGCAATGGTGATGACACTGTCATGTTCTCTACCAGATCCGTCCCTGGTTGAAGTGTGTGTGCGTTGCGTGCATGTGTGTGTGCGTTGCGTGCATGTGTGTGTGTGTGTGTGTGTGTGTGTGTGTGTGTGTGTGTGTGTGTGTGTGTGTGTGTGCATGTGCATCTGTGGTTGTGACACACTGCTGGGATCGGTTGGCAGAGCATTGTTGAGTACACGATGGTTCGTAGCACAGAAAACCCTACATCATCATCAAAGCCAGTGGTCTCTTTGCTGCAATTCAATAATACCAATCATGGCCATGCTTCACCAACAAGAAGGCCAAGGCACTAAGCTTTCTCACCTGTCGTGGGCATGGACATCCGGTCGGAGTTCAAGCGCCCCAGGGCGCTGGGCCATGCAGCCGTGAGTGCGCATACGATCAAGACATGCACTGCAGGCAACGTTCAGTACGCACTGAGGGTGCCGGCCTCCCAAGTCATTCAAGCGCATTTCCATGCCCACAGCAGTATAACAAAGTTACCGTAGCAACATGGATCTATGAGTAACACAACCAGGACTATAGACAAATCCAGACAGTTCACAGTGAGAGCAAGACGCTGCACACACATGGTGCCAGCACAACGAAGCTAAAATAATTTAAAATCAAGTGTCTAAAATACAAAAGGCACTTTCTACAATGTGCAGGATCTAGCAGTAGTAGAATAACATCTTCCGAATATGTCACATGGCACAGACACCAATTTTGGCCAGCACAGTGCTAGGGGTAAAATGTAGTGGCTGAAGTTGAATAATAGAAGTGTAAAATAGCTTGCCCTATGCTTGTCTGAGTGTAATAGGAAACGGTGGCTCTGTGCAAAACAAACAAATATACAAACAAACTACAACGACGACGACCACCACCACCTCAACAACCACAACAAGCACGACAACAACGACAACAACAACAATAACAACAACAACAACGACAACGACAACAGAAAAGTAGACTCATAAATAGACACGAGGAGTGAGAGGAGAAACATAGCAGTTAGATATGACAAGGACCGGGCTTGAATTGACGCAGTACTCCAGCAGTCATGTGAGCAATAGTCATGTGAGCAGTAGTCATGTGAGCAGTAGTCATGTGAGCAGTAGTCATGTGAGCAGTAGTCATGTGAGCAGTAGGCATGTGAGCAGTAGGCATGTGAGCAGTAGTCATGTGAGCTGAAGTAGCAAGGGCAGTATACGAGACCCAAACTAACAAACACCCGGTGATAACATTGGAACAAGGCTCCGTGCTCAGACTGAAAGAGAGAGAGAGAGAGAGAGAGAGAGAGAGAGAGAGAGAGAGAGAGAGAGAGAGAGAGAGAGAGAGAGAGAGAGAGAGAGAGAGGGGGGAGAGGAGAGAGGAGAGAGAGAGAGAGAGGAGAGAGAGAGAGAGAGAGGAGAGAGAGAGAGAGAGGAGAGAGAGAGAGAGAGGAGAGAGAGAGAGAGAGAGAGAGAGAGAGAGAGAGAGAGAGAGAGAGAGAGAGAGAGAGAGAGAGAGAGAGAGAGAGAGAGAGAGAGAGAGAGAGAGAGAGAGAGAGAGAGAGAGAGAGAGAGAGAGAGAGAGAGAGAGAGAGAGAGAGATGACACTGACGTAAGCTCGACCAAGCGCCCAGGGTTTGGGCTACCTGGAAAGCACATAAAATTTGCACTGCAATCAGTGTTTCAGCGCTAGATGAGCGGCAGCATCTAATATTGCTTCAAGGCGTGCTAGCATCAAAAAGCCATGAGACTGACCATAACACCTGCCCCCCACCATGACCCGTACAGTGCACTTTTCTCCTGGGCTAGTTTCACTGGGGTCGACCTCCACGCACGGAGTCGTGTTGGTCTCACGCAGCAGCAGCTCCGCAAACTCACTGTCCAGGCATTCCAATTGGAGCGAGTCTGCCAGGAGCCCGGTTAAGCCGCCCACGAACCGCTTCTGTTGCAGTGCTACCGCCAGGTTTGGCGACTGGTAAAAGAGCAGTATCCGGGCCTGGTCCAGCTGCTCGTCGGTCAGGGCTACAGGGGCGACGGGGCCAGGGCCCCGTTTACCAGTTGGAGCCTGGACTGGCTTTGTGTTCTCACATTCCGCAGTTGGAATCCTGACTGCCCTGATGCTCCTTCCTTCTGCAATTGGAGGTAGGTCGAGCGGCATTTGATTACTAGCCTCGCGTGGTAAAGGCAATGGTTCGCTCTGCCTGAGACCCAGTGACGACGTATCCTGAGTAGCTGGCACAGATGTCAGCACTGCAGGAGTTTGCCACTTGCTGGAACAGTGGCTGCTGGCTGCAAACTGACCTGCTTGCCGATGGCCCCCCGATGAATTCACGTGGAGCGGCGGTGGCGGCGCCGTATGTCCACCGTCTGGTCTTGCTGCTGTTGCTGCTGCGTATGGCGGCGTGTCCAGCAACGGTACACTTGGCTGCTTGCCTAGCCCCGGGGGAGGCCGAGTGCCCAGCCCCGGTGGAGGGGGGTGCTTGCCCAGTCCCGGGGAAGGCTGCTTGCCCAACCCCGGCGAAAGCGTTGTGCCCCGCCCTTTTGGAGGGGGCTGGCCCAACCCCGGAGAAGGCTGCGTGCCCAGCAGCGGCGGTGGCTGCTTGCCGAGCACATGCGGGGGCCGCGGGTGTGCCTTGGTGTGGTCGAGAGCACCGCGGCCACGTGATGCAACGCCGTGCTCCTCTGAGGAATGCTTTAAGTTCTGCAAGACACCCAGTGGAGAGGCAGATGGGTAATGCTGCCGTTGCTGCTTCTGCTGCTGTGCTGACAATCCCGCTGCTGTGGTTTGTTGCTGCCAATGCACTGTCGATGCAGCTGCTGTGGCTTGCGGCTGATCCACTGACGATTCCCCTGCGGTGGCTTGCGCCTGATGCACTGGCGAATCCGTTGCAGTAGCTTGCGGCTGATCCACTGGTGATTCTGCTGCTGTGGCTTGCGTCTGATACACTGACGATGCCGCTGCAGTGGCTTGCGGCTGATCCACTGATGTTTCCGTTGCAGTAGCTTGCGGCTGATCCACTGGTGATTCCGCTGCTGTGGGTTGCGGCTGATGCACTGACGATTGCGCTGTAGTGGCTTGCGCCTCATACACTGACGATTCCACTGGAGTGGCTTGCGGCTGATCTACTGACGATTCCCCTGGAGTGGCTTTCAGCTGATCCACTGACGATTCCCCTGCAGTGGCTTGTGCCTGATCCACTGGTGATTCCGCTGGAGTGACTTGCGACTGATCCACTGGTGATTTCCCTGCAGTGGCTTGCGGCTGATCCACTGACGATTTCCCTGCAGTGGCTTGCGGCTGATCCACTGGTGATTCCGCAGCAGTAGCTTGCGCCTGATCCACTGGTAATTCCGCTGCAGTAGCTTGCGCCTGATCCACTGGTGATTCCGCTGCAGTAGCTTGTGCCTGATCCACTGATAATTCCGCTGCAGTACCTTGCGGCTGATCCACTGACGATTCCCCTGCAGTGGCTTGTAGCTGATCCACTGGTGATTCTCCTGCAGTAGCTTGCGGCTGATCCACTGGCGATTCCGCTGCAGTAGCTTGCGCCTGATCCACTGGTGATTCCGCTGCAGTAGCTTGCACCTGATCCACTGGTGATTCCGCTGCAGTACCTTGTGCCTGATCCACTGGTGATTCCGCTGCAGTACCTTGTGGCTGATCCACTGGTGATTCTGCTGCAGTAGCTTGCGCCTGATCCACTGGTGATTCCACTGCAGTAGCTTGCGCCTGATCCACTGGTGATTCCGCTGCAGTACCTTGCGCCTGATCCACTGACGATTCCCCTGCAGTGGCTTGTGGCTGATCCACTGGTGATTCTGCTGCAGTAGCTTGCGCCTGATCCACTGAAAATTCCGTTGCAGTGGCTTGCGGCTGATCCACGGGTGATTCAGCTGCAGTAGCTTGCGGCTGATCCACTGACAATTCTGCTGCAGTGGCTTGCGGCTGATGCACTGACGATTCCGCTGCAGTGGCTTGCAGCTGATCCACTGGCGATTCCCCTGCAGTGGCTTGTGGCGGATCCACTGGTGATTCCGTTGCAGTAGCTTGTAGCTGATTCTCTGGTGATTCCGTAGCAGTGGCTTGCGGCTGATGCACTGACGATTCCGCTGGAGTGGCTTGCGGCTGATCCACTGGCGATTCCGCTGGAGTGGCTTGCGGCTGCTCCACTGGTAATTCCCCTGCAGTGGCTTGCGGCTGATACACTGGTGATTCTGCTGCAATGGCTTGCGGCTGATCCACTGACGATTCCCCTGGAGTGGCTTTCAGCTGATCCACTGACGATTCCCCTGCAGTGGCTTGTGGCTGATCCACTGGTGATTCCGCTGCAGTGGCTTGCGGCTGATCCACTGACGATTTCCCTGCAGTGGCTTGTGGCTGATCCACTGGTGATTCCGCTCCAGTAGCTTGCGCCTGATTCACTGGTGATTCCGCTGCCGTAGCTTGCGCCTGATCCACTGGTGATTCCACTGCAGCAGCTTGCGCCTGATCCACTGGTGATTCCGCTGCAGTACCTTGCGCCTGATCCACTGACGATTCCCCTGCAGTGGCCTGTGGCTGATCCACTGGTGATTCTGCTGCAGTAGCTTGCGCCTGATCCACTGGTGATTCCACTGCAGTAGCTTGCGCCTGATCCACTGGTGATTCCGCTGCAGTACCTTGCGCCTGATCCACTGACGATTCCCCTGCAGTGGCTTGTGGCTGATCCACTGGTGATTCTGCTGCAGTAGCTTGCGGCTGATCCACTGGCGATTCTGCTGCAGTAGCTTGCGGCTGATCCACTGGCGATTCTGCTGCAGTAGCTTGCGCCTGATCCACTGGTGATTCGGCTAAAGTAGCTTGCAGCTGATCCACTGGTGATTCCGCTGCAGTAGCTTGCGGCTGATCCACTGGTGATTCCACTGCAGTAGCTAGCGCCTGATCCACTGGTGATTCCGCTGCAGTAGCTTGCGCCTGATCCACTGGTGATTCCGCTGCAGTAGCTTGCGCCTGATCCACTGGTGATTGCGCTGCAGTAGCTTGCACCTGATCCACTGATGATTCCCCTGCAGTACCTTGCGGCTGATCCACTGACAATTCCGTTGCAGTGGCTTGCGGCTGATCCATGGCTGATTCCGCTGCAGTAGCTTGCGGCTGATCCATTGACAATTCCGCTGCAGTGGCTTGCGGCTGATGCACTGACGATTCCACTGCAGTGGCCTGCGGCTGATCCACTGGTGATTCGGCTGCAGTGGCGTTTGGCTGATGCACTGACGATTCCGCTGCAGTGGCTTGCGGCTGATCCACTGGCGATTCCCCTGCAGTGGCTTGCGGCTGATCCACTGGTGCTTCCGCTGCAGTGGCTTGCGGCTGATCCACTGACGATTCCGCTGCAGTGGCTTGCGGCTGATCCACTGACGATTCCGCTGGAGCGGCTTGCGGCTGATCCACTGACGATTCCGCTGGAGCGGCTTTCCGCTGATCCACTGGCGATTCCGCTGGAGTGGCTTGCGGCTGATCCACTGACGATTCCACTGCAGAGGCTTGCGGCTGATCCACTGACGACTCCGACGATTCCACTGCAGCAGCTTGCGCCTGATCCACTGGTGATTCCGCTGCAGTACCTTGCGCCTGATCCACTGACGATTCCCCTGCAGTGGCTTGTGGCTGATCCACTGGTGATTCTGCTGCAGTAGCTTGCGCCTGATCCACTGGTGATTCCACTGCAGTAGCTTGCGCCTGATCCACTGGTGATTCTGCTGCAGTACCTTGCGCCTGATCCACTGACGATTCCCCTGCAGTGGCTTGTGGCTGATCCACTGGTGATTCTGCTGCAGTAGCTTGCGGCTGATCCACTGGCGATTCTGCTGCAGTAGCTTGCGGCTGATCCACTGGCGATTCTGCTGCAGTAGCTTGCGCCTGATCCACTGGTGATTCGGCTAAAGTAGCTTGCAGCTGATCCACTGGTGATTCCGCTGCAGTAGCTTGCGGCTGATCCACTGGTGATTCCACTGCAGTAGCTAGCGCCTGATCCACTGGTGATTCCGCTGCAGTAGCTTGCGCCTGATCCACTGGTGATTCCGCTGCAGTAGCTTGCGCCTGATCCACTGGTGATTGCGCTGCAGTAGCTTGCACCTGATCCACTGATGATTCCCCTGCAGTACCTTGCGGCTGATCCACTGACAATTCCGTTGCAGTGGCTTGCGGCTGATCCATGGCTGATTCCGCTGCAGTAGCTTGCGGCTGATCCATTGACAATTCCGCTGCAGTGGCTTGCGGCTGATGCACTGACGATTCCACTGCAGTGGCCTGCGGCTGATCCACTGGTGATTCGGCTGCAGTGGCGTTTGGCTGATGCACTGACGATTCCGCTGCAGTGGCTTGCGGCTGATCCACTGGCGATTCCCCTGCAGTGGCTTGCGGCTGATCCACTGGTGCTTCCGCTGCAGTGGCTTGCGGCTGATCCACTGACGATTCCGCTGCAGTGGCTTGCGGCTGATCCACTGACGATTCCGCTGGAGCGGCTTGCGGCTGATCCACTGACGATTCCGCTGGAGCGGCTTTCCGCTGATCCACTGGCGATTCCGCTGGAGTGGCTTGCGGCTGATCCACTGACGATTCCACTGCAGAGGCTTGCGGCTGATCCACTGACGACTCCGACGATTCCGCTGCAGTGGCTTGCGGCTGATCCACTGACGATTCCGCTGCAGTGGCTTGCGGCTGATCCACTGACGATATCGCTGGAGTGGCTTGCGGCTGATCCACTGGTGATTCCGCTGGAGTGGCTTGCGGCTGATCCACTGGTGATTCTGCTGCAGTGGCTTGTGGCTGATCCACTGATGATTCCCCTGCAGTGGCTCGTGGCTGATCCACTGGTGATTCTGCTGCAGTAGCTTGTGGCTGATGCACTGGTGATTCCATTGGAGTGGCTTGCAGCTGATCCACTGGTGATTCCACTGCAGTAGCTTGCAGCTGATCCACTGATGATTCAGCTGCAGTGGCTTGGGGCTGATGCATTGAGGATTCTGCTGCAGTGGCCTGCGGCTGATCCACTGGTGATTCTGCTGCAGTGGCGTGTGGCTGATGCACTGACGATTCCACTGCAGTGGCTTGTGGCTGCTGACAGGACGGGTACTGATGGTGGTCTATTGAACTGGTCACTCTGCTTTGAAGCTGACAGCTCCAGGACATGTCCTGTGGTGTGACATTGGCAGCACGGATATTATTACTGTTTGTATGATCGTCGTCATCACGCGTATCATCACCATTGTTGTTGTCATGTAACTCATCAGCCCCTGCTAGTTCTTCTTGCCATGCGGCAGCCATTTCATCGTCGCCCAATGGCGTTCCGCGAGACGCACCCGTTTCTGTCTCGTCGCGCTTGACACTCACTGCTGCTTGGCTGCAATGCGTGGGTACGGGTAGGTCTTGGGCGGGCTGTTCCTCAGTCTCATACTCGCCGTCACTATCCCGGTCACTAGTCATGCTGCTAGCGGCACTCACGAGCTTCTGTCGATATTTCTGTGCTAGCAGTACTTCAACTGTCGAGCCGCGTTCAATGACCTCGAACATGTCGGGCCGGGCCTTGAAGAACGCCTTGGATATTCGAATATCCCCCGCTGTGCTGTCGCTGACATGTTGTTGCAGACTCTTGCCGCAGAGGAGCGACCCTAACACCGACTTGAAGCCCTTGCGTCGCTGCAGTGTGGTCACACAGGCTTGCTCAAGAGAATTGAAGCTATTGTTCGTCTCCGGCAGGCTTAGGGACAAGATGCTGTCAGTGCCGGATGATATCGGCGAACACGAAAACAAGTGAGGGCGTCGGCGGAAGAAATCCTCGTCGAGTTTCGTGGTCACTTTGTTCGTGACTGCCAGCAACTCTGGGTCCTCGAGAAGTTGAGGTAATGGGACATTCTCGCCGCCAGCACGAAGAAGACCCGCTACGGCAACGGCGTCCAGGTTTGGCATTGTCGGATCAGGACAGGAGCATAGGCTATTGGCCCTGCCAAACACGCACCGAGCCGGAAGACAGGGAGCTACTGATACCGACTGTTGTTGCTACAGTGGATATACCGGTACTGATTCAAGTGATTTCGTCACCATCGGCGCTGCTTTCGGACATATTATAATATAATTATAGTGATTAGACGTGTGGCCCTCCTCAAGCAGGCAGTCGTATATAAACCGGTTTATACTGTACACGACTCCCTCTGCCCTCAAGCTGTGATACACGTGGGTGCATGTCAAGCCCACGCCACCAGCATAGCTTCCGCGCGCTGCATTCAAAGGTGTGTGCGCGTGTCACGTCAGGGCGACTCGGTCGGCCCGTCATCGTCCAGTTCACACTTACATGAGTTGGCGATGGTGGAGGGTCGGGCTTGGCACCGTTTCCTTGCCGTGATCTGTGGCAGCATCGCGCTCGTTTTATTTTTGGCTTTCGAATAATTATTAGAAAAGGACCAAGGAACTACTTGTACAAGACTTACGCTGTAATGTCCACTGACACCACCAGTTACTTGACAATCAGCTCATGCGATAATATCCCATGCGATAATATCGCACAAAACTGGTCGACCGACAGTAGAACTACTGTCGGTTCTACAACTACTTGAACTGGCTATCACTATCAGCTCTAACGTTAGCACATCTTGGGTGCGCACTCCAACAGCCTTCCAACTAACGTGTGTTACTTGAAAGGTTCTGAGTTATTATGAAACACAGGAGGGGAAGGTGAGCGCAACCAAGACAAGCACGAGCTGAAAGTCTCAGCTGTGGAGAAGCTAATTATTATTTGCTTGTCCTAGTTCTTGTCCATGTCATTGCACTGGTGGTTTCAGGATCAAAATCGCAGCACAGCCTGTTGCTGTTTCTGTTCAGCTGTGATAGTTCACAGTAAACTTTAGGCTCTGTTTTTCTTTGCCTTCATTGTTTTTTTGTTATGATGCTGGATAACGTAAAATGCATTGAAATTTGGACTTGGACAGATGATAGGTAGCCATTGGCGGACTATGCTCGGCCAATCGTCAAATTATGCTTTTGATTATGCCACAATTATGCCAACAAATATGCTGAATTATGCTGAATTATGCTCGGTTCCACTATGTATTCACGCTGTACATAGAGGAATGAGAAACCACGCATACACACACGGCCATGCCCTATTATTTTTGTCTAAACCGAAAGATTATGCCGACCTTACACGTTGGAATCCGTATATTATGCCGGAGCATAATAATTTGACGAAATCCCAAGATTATGCCAAATATTATGCCGGCATAAACCGCCAAGGGCTAATTATAGATGGTTTTTCTGGAGAAAAAAAGAAGCTTTCGCAAACTGAAAGGTCTCTAAGCACTGAGGCAGTAGTACAAACGGGGGGGGGGGGGGGCGCAGCTTCCCTGCTTCACCATTCAATTCGCCATCATATTATTAGGCAATGACCCCGTTTGACTTTGCGAAGTAAAAATAAAGAATACAATACAATTCCCCAGCCTTTGACAAATTGCCATGATTACATGTATGTACCCGCTACACAGCCAGCTGGGCTCGAGAGGTAGGCATTGGCGGATAATGCTCGAAAAGGTGGCAGATTCTAGGGCACCCTGTAAGAAGACCATAGGTCTGTGGGGACTGCCCTAGTAAAATATGAATAAATAATAATAATAATAATAATAATAAGATTCTGCTCGAAAAGCAGTCACCGATAGCCCTTTCCCAAAGGTGCTCGCCCTTTTTTCGCCCTTTTTGGCCCTTTTGGAAAAGCCCGTTTCTTTCGCCCCTTATTGCGTTTTTTGGTGAATATCGCCCCTTTTGACCTTTTTTTAGCTGAAAAAGTGCTAAAATCTGTTTGCTCATGCATGCGATCACAGTTTCCAAGTGCTCGATGGGCCTTGGCACGCCGCTTTTTTCTGGGGGGGGGCAACAAGTTGGTGAACCTTGTACCCGGTGTACACAATGCTGTAAAAAGTGGGTTTTTTTGAGTTTTACTTCCTGTTTTGCCTTTCGAAGAGTGCGTATTCATTTCTCAGCTTGGCCTTGGGTTCATATCTGAACATGTATCATGGGCCTTTCATGGCTATGCTTCACTGAAAAAAGAGCACTTTTTGCCTGTTTCCACTGAAAAAAGAGCACTTTTTCAGCATATTTTGAGGGACGCGAAAAGCACTAAGTGCGAATTAAAAGAGCACCTTTGGGAAAGGGCTAGTCACCGAAATTGGCAGAACCATACAAACCTTATGGCGGGCAGTTCTTCGAATTCTGCTCCATTTCTTTATCCACATACCAAACATGCATGACACTATTAGTATTACTTACCAGAAAAAGTACCGAATTCTGCCAATTTTTCTGCCGGCATTATCCGCAAAGGCCTACATGTAGCTCTCGAGGTTTTGTATAGTTACACTCTTGCCGTCTTGATCTTTGATCTTGGGGAGTCTTGCATATTCCTCTCATGGCGGGGGGTTAGTGACCTTGCTAATCTGGTCAATTCGGAATGTAAGAATGTAAGAAGAAGGTAGATTTTACATGATCTACATGTACCCAACTCGATTGGTGCATTGAACGAGATGATTGTATTCATAATTGCCCTCACTCGTCTTGTGTCTTGTGTCAGTTGTGATCGTCGAAGCCGAAGGTCTGCGTGCGCACTACCGGTATCCACACGGACCACACCACACTGTGAGTGTGACAGGCACAGGCATAGCTGGGTCGCGGACAAGTACAGTCCTGTAATGACTGTAGCTTAGGGCGCGTTCAGACTACCGTGAACCCCGTCAAACCGTGAATGCCGATAAACCGTGAAGGACATTCACACTACCGATAACAAACTAACGTTAGGCCACCCAGAATTAACGTTGTTTCGGGTCACCCGACCGACCGTCTTTTTTCACCCGACCGCAACATTTTTTTTGATTGTGCATGCAAATGTACGTACATGACTAACGTTAGGATACATGTACACACGCGACCCTAAAAATAATAGCAGTCCAGACGTCGATCTCAGAGTCAGAAGCAGCCAAATGACAGGTTGCATGCATGCAGTGCTTGGTGACGACGTTGTATTCTCCGATCCGCGATCGGTCCTGAAACAACATCAGCTCCGCCACCGCGTCCGCGGCTCATTGACAGAAGTTTTGGTGAGAGCTGCTCGTCAGACTCGTTTGCAGGCGAGGTCAAGATCTGGTCCTGGATGCTGGAGCTAGCTGGGGACCTACATTGTAGATCTGAAGGCGCTGGATCGTCTAGATTTGATCGACTGGCTTGATGATGGACAAAAGCTATTCGATAATAATAATGTATGCACATGGCCATGTATGGCGCGCATGGCAATAACCAAAATAAAAAATATTATAAAATAAAAAATAAACCCGACCGACCGACCCTGGTACGGATGAGTGAAGTGACCCGAAACAACGAATTAATTCTAGGTGGCCTTACCGTGAAGTTGCAGAATGGCTCAGACAACGCAGTGGTCGCCAGCTATTCTGGATTATATGAAGAATGTGATGTCGAACATATCAACGTGTTTGGCCTAATTCTCTAACTTGACAGCTAGTTTGTAGTGTATTTTACATGTTTTATGTGAATTTTGTGTTTTATTTTGTGCGCATGCCCTTTGGCATCTTGGAAAGCGCACATTTTTGTTGTTGTCGAAACTGTCCGTTCCACACTTGCTCTTCGGCCTTTGATAGCGAGCCTCTAACAAGTGCATTATCCCAATATCAACGTAGACGGGTGGGAGGGAAGGGACGTTGATATGTTCGACATCACATTCTTCATATAATCCAGAATAGCTGGCGACCACTGCGTGGTCTGAGCCATTCTGTAATTATATTTCAGAATGCTCTGTCTCCGGCTTGTAGTAGAACTTTTGGAAGATACTCTCACTGCTCCAATCTGCTGCAGAGAGGATAATGGATATCGGTCGTTGTGACCCCAGCGTCTGCTGCAGCTGAAGTTGCAGCACTTCGCACCGAGTGCGCTTTGAAGATATCCGTATCGATTCCGGCCTTCGCCAGAACTGTTTTAATCCATCTGGCTACGGTCGATGATGACACCGCTTTGTAGGGTTGTATTGTAGCAATCAGGAGTTGAGCTTGCTTTTCATCATCAGCTCGATTCGCCAAGGTCCTACTTTCGTAGTCCTTCAATGTTTGCACAGGACACAATAGTGCATTGTCCTTAAATGCTGGGAAGAAGAACTCTGTAATCTTCTTGTTCTGCCTGGACTGCTTGTGACCGTTAGTCACATAGCAATGAAGAGAGTGTTTGGACTCGATCGTACCACGCCCACTGAACTAGTTCTTCGCTTATATCACCTCTATTCTTTGGAACAGCGTATTAGCCTCAAGCTCTATGTTTTTGTGTACCGCTGCTTGGCCCAGCATCTTGCTAGTCTTCTTCTTCAGTCTTTGTACCAGCTTCGGGCAACTGCACCTGGTCACCAGGCATGCACCCGGGGCAAGGCACAAAGAGCCTTAGTTCTCCCACTCGTTTATACGCAGTATGGCATGCGCTCTATTTCTTTTCTGGCGGAAGGCAGGTGGAACTCTCTTCCAGCTGACTGTCGACAGGCCCACACTCTTGCTCTGTTCATTAATATGGTTAAACTTCACCTAGGGTTCCCAGTAAAAAGGCAGTAGCCTGTTGGGACTCCCCTAGTAAAATAATAAAAACTACTATTACTACTACTACTGCTTTGCCAGTTTTGTCGGGTGAAATGTTACGCCCTCCGGGCTAAACTGCCTGAACCTTGTATCAAGGTTCACAAGATCCACCGATCTCGATGGCCTAGTGAGGGCCAACAGCATCGTGATTTTGAACGTTATATCCTGGAGGGACATTTGCTCGTTCTGACCTAGTGAGATCAGGTATGTTGTGACCTTTGATACGTCCCACGTTGAGGAGTACCTAGGTTGGGGTGGTCTTTCATGGAAGACGCCCTTCAGTAGTCTGCTTACCATTGGGTGTGATCCCACTTCGTATCCATCAACTTTGTCGTGGATAGATGATATTGCAGATCGATAATTACACAAGGACCTATACTGGTACTTATTCTGATAAAGAGAAGCCAAGAAGTTAACCACGCCGGCTATATCTCCCGAAATGGGATCAATGTCCCTTTCGACACACCAGCATG